TCAGTGTCATGGTGAGGCAATCGATACTCGTTCATGATCCAGCTAGTACGGATACTTTAGGGGCTTTGCCGGAGTAGAAAACTAGGGTTTTCTTCAAGCCGATTGGACGGGAAGTTTCAGTCCGAATCATCCTGTCCGCTCCTGTAGCTTTCCAATATCATGAAGTTGTAACCCGATTTGGGCGATCGCCATTTCTGTACTTTCTGTCTCTTGGCACGTAGAAGAACCATTCTCTCTCCGCAATTGCTGCTAAAGCTGATCATATTACACAAACCCAAATCATCATCAATCACCCTCCTATATATATATATATATATAACATGACCAGGATGAATTCATATTCTAAAATACAGATATATATATATATATATATTCCTCGGTACATGTAGTCAAAAACCCATGAATATGATATATATATTCATCGGTATATACAATCAAAAACCTATATTTATATGCACACACATAGCTATGTCAACATATGATACACAAAGAGAAAGATGAAATTACCCATATATATATCATGACGGAGATTAAATCATGTTCTAAAATACAGATATATATTCATTAGTACGGTATAATTAAACACCCATGTGTAGACACACACACACAGATATATATGTTTATGTTAACATATGATACACAGGGAATTAAGATGAAGTTACCCAGACAAGAGAGTTTCGGTTTTTTTGATTTAAAAGAGAGAATTGAAGTAAAGAGGGAAAAGGGCTTGGTGGGTTTTGTGTATCTATGTGTCTATACATACATATATATACACACACATATAGAACATCCAAAGAGAAAGATGAAGAGAAAGAGAAAGAGAAATAGAGAGTGAGAGAGACAGAGAATTGAAGTAAAGAGGGAAAAGGGTTTGGTGGATTTTTGTGTATCTATGTGTCTACATATATTACATATACACATATATAATACACCCAAAGAGAAAGATGAAGAGAAAGAGAAAGAGAGAAAGTGAGAGAGAGAGAGAGTGTGTAGAGAGAGAGAGAGAGAAAGAGAGAGAGAGAGAGAGAGGGAGATTTTAATTGTAAGTACCAGGAAGCTCCCAAGGGTCATAGCGATAGAGATCAAGAAAAGTGATAAGTTCAACGTTGAATCTCTTTCCCTCAACCTTACGGCGAAGGTAGAATTCCACTAGTTCTTCTTCAGTAGGATGAAAACGGAATCCAGGCATCACCATATCTTGCTCGTGGTGATCATCGTCATCCACCACCTGATGATCTCCACTACCCTCTTCCTCGTTGTTGTTTCTGTTATTATCTTCACTACTGTTATTGCTCATGTTTGCAGCTGCAATTGCCATAAACCAAAAGCTTTTCTCTTCTTTTCTTTTCTCCCTTTTGATCTTCTTTTTCTCTCTCTCTCTCTCTCTCTCTTGTTAAGACTGATGTTGAATTATATATACATATACACACAAGTAATGAAATGAAGTTGTGTTTTTATAGGTGGCTGGGTGGGGGTTGTAAAAATTGAGTGGTGGCAAGTGGTAGGCAGAGATAAGACATGGTTAACTTGTACTGGATACCCTTTAAATCCAAAACTTTATATACATATATATGTATATAAATTAATATTATAAGTAGAACCCAAGAGGAGGAAGAAGAAGAAGAAGCAGAAAATGGAGAGAGAGAGAGAGAGAGAGAGAGAGAGAGAGAGAGAGAGAGAAAAGTAAGCGTAAAAAATGTATTAAGAAGAGAAAGTGACATGTCGAGAAGAAGACAGGGTGGACACAGCCTCTCGCCCCTCTCTAGCGGTGCCTTTGGACCTTTCTTCTACCATTCAATTTCTACTTTCCTCTTTTGTTATTTTTTTTATTTTTTATCCTTCAACTTTCTATACTTTAATTTCTCTTTATTTTCTCTGTGTATGTATATATGTATTATATTGAAAACATTATGTGGGTTATGCATTACTTGGTCCAAATATATGGTGGTTATTTTAGAGGACATAACACCACATATATATATATATAGATATTTCCATAACAACTTATATTTAGTGAGTGAAATTAGACATATTACTCTATTTAATTATGAGGATAATTGTTTAAAATTTTTATAAATCTTTTCTCATCATGTCCAAATATATAAAATACACCGAGTCATAGTAATAAATATTTTCTACTTTTACTTCATGAATTGTTGTTAGTTATAGCAATCCAAGCCACTAGAATTCTTGAATCCCGAGACATAATAGATCGTCGAATAAGGCAAGATGATATCTTTGCTATGTGCAATTTTATGATTGTGACGCACTTAGATTCTTGTTTAATACTTCTTTTTAAGTTTTTAGAAAAAATTCTGTAATATTTTAATTAATTTTTCTTATTTAACCTATGTCAATTATATTTAATTTTATATTTGTAGTTGAATTATTGATTTGTGTATACACATAGTTGTAGGGGAACAATGGAAAATCATAAGAAAATTTATTTAAAAATACTTCCTGGTTAATATTTTTTAAACACGGTATCACTAAAACAGTTTTTATCTTAACATGGTCTTTCAGTTTGTGATGGTAGAATTGTATTAACTCTATTTGTTTTAATATATGGAAAAAGAAAATCAATTTTGATTTCTTCCACCCCTTAGCAACGTCATTTGTCTCCATATTTAATTTCCATGGATTGAGTTGTTCATGATCTAATAACACCACTGTTATTGAGTTATTTCTGACCAACTTTAAGGAATTCACATTTGCCGTCTTTATTGTAAGGTGAGAACTTTATTGATGGCTAGTAACTCAATTGTATTGGAGTCTTTTATTCCTCTTTTCTCCGAAAAAATGCATCACCCATCCATTATGATCTCTAACATAATCTCTAATGTCAACAATCCTATATTAAACCATCAATATTGAAGATGAGACATATTGGAGTCGATGAACTCTATTTGCTTGATTTTAGAACCTTATGAACTTGGCGACAACCTACCACATCCTTTAGAGATATAAATAATTCATTTATAGTGCGTTTGCTAAACTCTACTGATAGAAACCTTATCCACCACACAAGTTTTATTCTAATGGGGTCGGCCAACTCCACCATATTGAGCACTAAAAGAACCTAATTTCTTAGTAGCTAAATTGACCAGAGTACTATATAACGATAAACCTATTTTATTCGTACCAATCTAAACATGCAGTCTAGATGCAATTATATGTGTGTGGGTCATTGAATTTTGAGTTCTTCTTATGCTTCTATTTGTTTTTAGCTCCTTTATAATGAGTTACTCTTTCAAGCTTAAGGGGTAATCTTTATTTTATATGTTTCTTGTTTTTTTCTTTCAACTTTCTTATAAGATTTCTATGACATTTAAATTGTAATTATGAAGTAAATTATAACGTTTATTCGCCCACAATTTTATTCTTCTATCGTGTCCAAAGAGTTACCTTCTTATGTGAAGATGCATGAGGTTTAATGAGGCTTTTTATAATAAAAAACATACGTGCTTGATGCTTGTGTTTAAGGAGTGTGTCCATGGTAAGTTCACTTATGTAACGTATAATACTAGATGATTTAACTAGTAAAACGATCTATTCCTTTTGTTTATAATCTTTTGCGTTGGTATTGGCTTACAACATGATTCTCTTTTAGGTACTTGAGGGACACCTTTTTATTGTAGTTTTAGTAGTATGTGCAATATTTTCTTTATCTTTTTTAGTATATCTATGTATTACTTTCTTATTAGTTGTACTGTAAACTACCTCAGTAATACAATAT